TTCAAACTGTTTCCCTGCCCGCTCCAACACTCTGACAGCACAAGGTGATGCAGACAAATTGAGGCGGCGAAGCTCAACAGCAGATCTTTTCTTCAAACGGGGAAGTAAGCGAAAAACATTTTATCGCTTACTTTCAGCAATATGTAAATCTATGCATTCGATATTCCTGAATTATCAGCTTCTTCTTGGGCAAGAAAACAGGAATTATTTTTAAAGTGTAAAACATTTTAGAAACGATATATGGGGTCATTTTCAACCCATCTTCCGCCTTCTGGACTGATTCTATCTAACAGGCTTTGCCAGCCCTTTTCTGTCAGTGGGAGGAGCAGTATTAAATGCCTCTCCTTTTAACATGACCATTTTCGAATCGTGCCAGGCCCCGCCTCCTCTGTTGATGGATCCCTGCAGGGCCAAATCCTATTTACTGGGTATCACTGTCACAGCAGGCTCCTCCATATGGACTGTGAGATTCAGTCGTGGCCTGCTCCATTTCCATCAGCCTGCAGAGTGCTCTGTGCTCATTCAATTATTGGACCTGCCGTTCCCCGCCCATACAAGTGTCCTGGTCCCAGGGCTATTTGGGAGCTCTCTGCTATCCATCACACATGGCTAATCACTGCAGTTGTCATTAACAATTGGAGCTTAGAATTTTGGATATTTCTATTTGTAGGCAATATATTACTATTAGATAACAGGCACTCCTGTGCCCCACACCACCCTGACTAGTCTAAATGGTGAGAAGATGGATGGATGGATGGATGGATGGAGTTAACCGATGAAACAATTTTGACAAAAGTAATAACACACTTTGTTATGTTTGTGAGTATTGATACTATGATTGTATATCTCACATCAGATTGTTTTGGCTTTGAATTCTATTACTTTTCTGAAGATTAATCACCTTTAACCCTTTAACCTTTATTTTTCTATTGTTATTTCTATTTTTTATGAAGTGTAAATCATACATGGAAGTACTGAAACCCAGAAACACTATGCAGTGTTGAAAATACCCAGCTTAAACAGGTCACATTTCAAGTGAAACTTAAATTTTCAAATGATACACACTATGTAAAGTCCTTAAAGTGCTACATTTTGTAAAATGTAAATGTGAAGAAATGGGGAATGTCCATATTAGGATGGAGAATTAGATTACGGGAAATAATGTAGCCCCCCCCCCCCCCCCAGGCTATGTTCCCACTGTGGGAACAACTCTATTTTATGCTTAGTAACACAGACCACAGATAGTTCCGTTCGTTTTTTTTTTCTTCATTTTTAGGCCTGTCTTACATAGTAGAACTTGTGTCCTTCTCACCCTCCAAAATAACTCCTTTTCTTGGAGGAAAAAAAAAAGTTTTCAGTGAGTATTATAAAAGTAAGACTTACATCTCTAATTCACTGCTTGGAGGTCAAAGTCTAAACATGCATCATTTTATGACAAGGACACTGAAATACCTCTGCAGACATCCTAAAATTTGTGATCCACTGACCCTCACTGAATCCAAACAGTGTATTTTTAGGTAACTCACTACATTACCAAAGAACCAGAACAGTAAATATTTGTATCTCATTTTCAAATAACTATAATTTTGTTATTAACCAAGTTAGCCTTGTTTCGTTGATGTGTAAAAGTACGTTTTTATTTGCTTTGGCTTGTAGCTAAGCAGGCACCGCTGACTAATGTGCGACTTCCAGTGACATTCTTCTGCTGGATTATCAATTGAGGCGGCTGCAGAAAACATGCCTGCATAATGCTGGGTGTATGAATTACCTCTGCAGTCAAGATAAAAGGCAGTTAACGAGCTTTGGAATCCAAGGCCATTATAAGATTCGGCACAAACCACAAAGTAAAAGTTGCTTGTCCAATATCAAGTTATACCCGCATTACATGAACAATCAGTGATGGATTTCCTTCAGGACATATAACAGAAATCAATGGTAAAAGATCTTCAAAAACATTCTTGTTTAAAGTTTTTACTGTATCCAGACCATCATGTCTGCACTGTATTTGATGCTATTCTCATGGCTCCATTTTGTGATCCATTACCTGCTTCTTTCCCAAGACTTATCTACTGTAGAGATCAAGGCAATCAAGGGTCGCCCCCCCTGCCTCTTTGCTCAGTATAGCAGTCTTCCACAATTTTAGATTCAAGGAGGATTTAATTAAGACAATAAAGGAACCCGGTCTGCTTTTCCCCTGCAGCCGATACCCTGCAGCCTCCCACTGAGACCTGCGACTGGTCTGCCTTGTTTATCTGACTCTTCTCCATCATTCCCTGCAATCATCAATCCTACAATCTCACTGTGTGGCCAGCAGACGCCGTTAAATGTTGCCACAGGCATCAAAGTTTGTCTTTTTTTTCTGGAATTCAGAGAAGCAGGTCAAGCTTTAGCTAGCAAAAAAAAAAAATGTTTCATCTATGTTATCCGCAAAAAGATAAATACAAATTAAACGAACCCTGGAAGCGTGGCATTTACGCCAGTGGCTAATCTACTCCATTCGTCATTTCCTATGACTTAAACTGAATGGAGAAATGTTGTCAAGATGGCCACACACCTTATTTATTTCCAATAATAATTATGAATGGCTAAACAAACAAACAAACAACTGAGCAAACAAATAAATAAATAAAGTTGCCACGTGATGAAGTTAAATGAAACATGAAGAAGATGCTTGTCTAATGTCTTCTTTGGGCCTTAACACAAGCAGGTAAAAACGGGATGTGTTATTGATTACAACGTCATCATGCAGTGACACCTCAGAAACAATCTCTTTTTCCCTTTTAAAATGGGCCCAGCTAAGAGGAACACTGTGATCAGTAAATCCATTACTGAAGCAACAGCCTAACTCAGTCACAAGACAGCCAAATAATCTGACAGAATTTTTTGTTCACTATCCTCCTTGTCAAATGGAAATAAGAGCCAGATTATGCGAATAGTTTCGCTGGTGTTATGACAGCAATGCAGACGCATAGTAGAATTAAACTGGTGCCAGACTGGATGCAGGTTTTTACACCAGCCAAATGTGGTGCTGCCGATGTACTTTAAATATATTAGGTAGAGCATTATAAATCAATACTATTGACAATATGGAAATCAATCATCTGATCTATGTGATCGGAATGGAAGCACGGCAATTGATTTGTTACATTTATTCAAAATATTTGAGAACTTGCGTGAAAATTCCTCCTGCTTCCCATGAAGCACAGAAAACATCAAACAGTCATTGTTTTACAGTCAGTTATTTGTAGTAGAGAAGGTGTTTTGCAACCATGGGGATGAGCAGGGAACAGATCAACATGAGGTCACACAACAGATCGACAGCGCTGGGCCCGATCCACTGATATAAACACAACCTTAAACCCCTAATTGCTCTATATAGATACTGTTTCTGCCGAAAGTGGCATAAATAGTTTGAAGACAACGCATAATTAAAGTTATATTACCCTGTGATTTCTTCTCTGATGTTGTTTTTTCGTAATTTTGAAAAGTGCAGACTTTTTGATCACATCAGACAACATTTTTTTAAGAATTCTTTTTCATATACATTGCTGGTGTGGGTTTGAGCTCATCCTAACTTGGTCTTCTTTTGGGCGTACAACAAAGGCAAGATTTGCGTGTACCCCCGCCCCCCCTCAAGAGCAATATAGAAAACACATTTTGGCAATTCATTTGTATTGCAAACATTTCACTAGCACATGCTATCTGGCTATTAACGAACCAGCTCTGTCACAGGAAAAGTACTGAAACATCAAAACTAGTGTAAATGACTGTAATCCTGTAATCTAATTGAATGCAACCAGACATACTGTATTTCTTATGATTTTTTTTTCACTCTCTCTTTTGCGCCCCCTAATCAAATGACGCAGAGAATATTTTTCAGATGAAAGTTAGCTGCTTCGTTTCACGGTTCAGGATACTTTAGGGTACAGTGCGTTTAATACTCAAACAAATGAAACGCTTTGATTTATCCGCGGTTGAAGTGGACAGCTCGACAGTTATCATTCACGGCCGCTGACAGAGCTGTCATGCTGGGAATGAACCCGCCAGGATTTGCTTATTTATTTATTTAATGTCCGATTAAAACTCTTATCAAACGCCCCCGGCTGAGTACAGATTAAGATAAACTATCATAAACTCCTGTCAAACTGCTTAGTATCGAAGCAATACTAGCCTTAAATACACAATTCAGACTCTTTTAAGACTTTTTTTTTACCAAATCTCGTATAGGGGCACTTTTTGTTAATACTAAGACTGCAGGAAAGCTACTTTATGCGTGAAAAGTATCTCTGAGACGGGTAGATAAATACATTTAGTCCGCATTAACCATGCAATTTCTCATATAATTTAACAAGAAGCTTAATAACATTGTGCTTGCACCATTTAAATTGGTTTCGACGCTCTGTTATTTAAAGGAAATGGTGTATATCAAAAAAGATCCCTTACTGTAGCCAAAAATGTATATAATTGCGCATAAATGGGATCCACTAAGGAATCTGAATAAGGGAGTGTACAGTAAATCTGTCTTCAACTGCAAACAAATAAGGATAAAGCCTCGTAGAAGTATAGGTTGCACTTAGGAGCTGTTTCCACTTAACATTCAAGACGTGGGTTCCTTTGTGGCAGGTATGCATCAGCCGGTATGCTAGACACTAAACGGGCTTCGTCTTTTACGCATTAGCATCGGTTGTTTTATTTTACTTATGTTACAATTTGGACGTTTATTTAACTCTGAAAAAGCGGGGAAACTCGATTCCGGCGTTCAAGGGAATCTCCTTAAGTTCTGCCGAAAAGCAACAAGCAAACAAGGAAGTTTAGGGAACAATTAGAGTTTCGCTTTATTGCATTTGCAGCGGCGAGGATCCCAAGCGGGGGTCTGGGGAAGATGTGCGTTTTGTCCCAGTCTTTCCTCCAGAGCGCCCGGTCCCCTGGGAGGGCTCTGCCTCCATCCGCCCGCTCTGATTGGACGGCTCCCGAACGCACATTTAACCATTCAAGCTCTTATCCTGCACTGCCTGGGACCGTGTGACAGATGAGAAACTGCTTCCATCTGGAAACCCAAAAAAGGGGGACAGACTATACTTAGTCACCGACGGCAGAGCCGAGCCGCTTGCATTGCATTGCATTGCATTGCGATGAGCGTCATTTCGTTTCGGTGAGAAGGCAGCGAGGACGTGCGCTTTGCGGAGCGCTTGCAAAGCATCGATCGCTGGGGGAACTAATATTTTATTCTGCTATTCCAGTCTTGTCTTTCAGCACCTTGTCACCATCTGATTTTATTTTTATTCTTTTTAATTTTTTTTTTACTCAGCACCGGCATTATTCCACGTTTACTGCATAAACTCGCACTAAAGCAATATTGTACCTGGAGTGTTAATTCAAAGACTGGCAGTTTTGGATGTTCATCTCCATACCCTGACAGAAGTACGAGTTGTCGCATTCTCCAGTCGTTAATGGGACTTCTTATGGGGAGACGGTCGTGAGGGAACTGTGTCTGGCAGATTTGTTAAGGTAAGAGGTCATAAGATCTGGATATTTATTTATTTATTTGTTTGTTTATTTTTGGGAAACACGCACAATACTACTCCTCTGCATTTTTAAGCTTTTCTTGGCGCGACGAATAACTCATTTGAGTCGATTTGGACTTGAGATTAAAGCGGCATTTTGATATCTTGGCAAAATGAGACTTGTCTTTCTCGCTAACTCAGGGGGCTAGAGGACTACCCAGTCCTTTGGCAGCACGCAGGGAAACACATCCGAAGCATACTGATTACAGGCAGCGAGGATGCCCCGCGTTCGCACTGTTTAAGCGCTACATTTTGTAAGATCCTTATGTAACGAGAACGTATCTCACACGATACACACGTGTATAGTGACTTGCTCCATGTAATTATTATTATTATTATTCAATTATGTTTTTCCTGTTTGTTTGAAACTGGCATTTGCTCAAATATTCTGAGGACTGGTACTGTACAGAGTAAGATAAAGTAAGACATACCGGCATTCTATGTCAATTATTATTATTAACATTATTATTATTATTATTATTATTATTATTATTATTTCAAAACGGTTTCATTCTTTCAGTTTTATATTTTATTATAAAAACGACTTTTAACCAGCTACGATACTTAAAAATGTTATTTTAATTGTAGTATGTGTAAACATGAGCTGAAACTTGAAGGGTAATAACCATTCAGTTAAAACGTCACAAAAACCTAAGACTGGCGAACTGGATCCTGTGAAGGGGCACTGATCATTGTTATTCATACCGTGATTTCTCAAACTATTTTACAAAGAGGGTACTTAACTTAATCTTCTAGTTCGATATTTTGGTTACATTTTGGCAAGTTGATTGCATTTTCTTATTACTTTGGCTTGTGATTCTATTTGAATGAGTTTTGAATAGTTACTGGCCTCTTAGGAATGAAGGTTTTCATTAACTATGTTAAAAATTGTTCGCCTGAGAATTTCGGGAATTCGCAAACCTTGTGAAAGAAACTACTGTAGAGATATCCAAAGCTGCTCGAATGATTAACACATTTATTTCTGAATAAAATGAAATAAATCCGTCTTTAACCAATGATTTTTTTTGAATAATAAAACTGCTTATCCTATGTGACTCTGATACGAATAATAGATATCGATATATGACTAGATAGTATATATATAATTATTACTTTTTTCCTGCAAGACCCACCGTCAGCACTGCTTGGCGAAGGGAATAACCCTCATTTCCCATACCCTCCCCCCCCCATCTCCCCATCCCGTCCCTAAACCGAACGCGGAGGTCTTTAGCGCGGAATTACTGAAAGCCACCCCTGTTTCCATTTCTCTTCATCGCTGTAAAATATATAATTTCAGCGGAACATATAATAAACATATACTCCAGAGAACCTGCTACTGCGTCATTTTATTCCAGAGGGTTAGAATGATTAGAATGGTTGGTTCAGAATTGGTCAGTTTAGTTTTAGTTTTGAATTCATAAGGTGAACGATTTGTCCGACTGGCTCTTGCTACTGAAAATAGCTGATTTTTACCTAAATAGTTCTCTGCATTGACCAGGTCACTGCAGCGTGGCAGCACATCACAGGTAAGAGATTAAAATCGATTCATTTATATTTGTGACATAAGCGCACTGTATGATACTTCTATGCATGTGAAACAGACGCATACACATCTATTTTGAGCAGTTCCAATACGATTCTGTAGCAGCATGTTAAGCATTATTAATTAAACCGTCCCTTAATTTTTTTTTAGCACCCTGTTAAGTATAATAGAGCAAATACTTTCTTACCCTTATGCCGAACAGCACGGTGAATAGGAAGCCATTAAAATGTTTTAAAAATGGGAATGTTTGTGGGTTTTCAATAGAGGGCACTGTCGCTCTTTAATGCACTACGCCAGTTTGCACACAAGCTATCGTCTCCAAGGGGTACTCAGAATGATGAAGCGCCACCGCCGGTACAGCCCGCGGTCCCCAGGGACGCAGAATTCAATCTAGCTGCGGCGCAGGCTAATGCTGTGGCACTTTGTCAGGATTAACATCTTTCTAGTCAGTGGCTTCTGTTACCTTCAGTGTCACATTACCACCTTGGAGTGCTGAAGGGGGGCTAAAAATGAAGCTACTGTTTCCTGCCTGGCCCAGTACTACCCCAATCACATCGCGGTGGGTCGATGGAAGAGAAGACTCGATCATTTTCAACAAACTAATGCATTTGTTATGCTATCACTTGAGGGGATTTTGCCTCCTAAAAACAACAGTAAGACTGAGCTTTTGAGAGGTACATTAGTTTTTATAAAGCATAACTGTCAATAACATCCTGGTTCTCTGGACATAATTGTATATGTGATGTTCCAGATACATTGTGCTTCTGGTAGTTAGCTGGTACAATGATAGTTTTAATTCTCAGAGCACTGTGGAATCAGATCATTAAATCCCAGTACGCTTTAATATGCATGTCACAGTGTGCCATTCTGTTCCCTTTATGGATTTCCAAGACGTCGACAGATCTTTGTACACTTCCTAATAGGTGGTTATCAGGATTTAACACCTTTGCTTCTGTCACTTTTTTGGGATTTTTCTGTTGAATCTGCAAAATGGTTGGTTTATCTGAAAAAGATGACATTTACCAAGCTTCTACCAGCAGTAGTGATCTCTCTCTCTCTCTCTCTCTCTCTCTCTCTCTCTATATATATATATATATACATATATATATATATGTGTGTGTGTGTGTGTGTGTTATATGGGAAAAATCTTTAGTCAGTATTACTTGTCATCACTGTAAATCAGTGCTTAGCAATTATGGGCCTTAGTTTAATCTTGAAAATGTTCATTAGTATCATTGTCTGTGTGCTCTGTTATTGAATATTGGATACTCTTCAAGTAAATAAATCACATTTTTGTTTGCTCTTTCTATCTGTCGGAAAATTGGGTTTTGTTGAGGTGATGGTGTGCAGGTTCCTCGTGTCCCATACAGTATCCGTAAACAGTGGAGTGTCAGCTGAAATCCTGAATTGAGAGGCATGGTGAGATGGATCTAAACTCAGGGGCAAAACAGGGATTAGATAAGCTGAGTTTTAAAAAGAAGGAAGGAGTTCAAAACAGGTCATAAACAAATAAAGTTTATTTCGATGTTTCCGTGGAGGTACAAGTGGACATATCACTGTGTCGGAGGATGGCAGCGGGAGGTAAGGAGGCGGCTTTCGTTACTTCACTCAAAGTCATTAATAATAAGGTACTTGACTCCATACAAGGAGAATTATGCCTCTTTCAGTACAGAGCGGTCTTGTGGTGAGCTGATGAGGACTGATTTACTAATCGCAGTGTAGGCGTGTGAAAGAAACCGGTCATCTTCCGAAATGGTGGCAAGCAATAATGAAATTTACAGTATATGGAACTTTTATATGATACCTACTGGGGAGTTTCTGTGCGGCTTGCTGTAGTATCATGCCTTAAAAGTGGGCATCCTGAGATGTAGCCAGTTAAAAGCATCCTTCTTTAATCTCTGGTATGTACTGTTTGATGGTTGATGATACTCTGGAAGTCTGATGGTACATTGAATACCATCATGGCTGCTCATGAAAGGTGGATGGATTTGAAGACTTATGCTAAGAATAAAGTTACATTTTTCAATTACCAAGTATTCTCATTCAGTATAGCTACTAACAATTGAATCCATACAGCATAAGCAACAACAACAACAACAACAACAAAACAGCAACAACAATAATCATCATCATCATCATCAATGAGAGGCTAACATTTTTAATTCTGAGTTTCTATGTGAAAGTTAGCGATTAATATACACTTTTCATAAAATAACATAATCATAAAATCACGGTCAAAGCAAGTTATAAATGTTGTATACGACCTAATTGTCAGTTTTTAATTTGGTTTGAAATAGTTTTGCTCCATCCTTTTTTATATAAAAAAGAACCTTGTTATAAATGGTATCATTTTGTTCATAGTTATTTAATTAGTATCATTGCGGAATCCAGGGTGGCGTGGTGCCTCAGTGGATTGTTCCATTGTACGTTTGGGGTTTGAATCCTGCTTTTGCCCTGTGTGTGTGTGTGTGTGTGTGTGTGTGTGTGCGTGGACATTGCATGTTAGATGGGTTTCCTCCAGGTCTTCTGGTTTCTTCCTTCAGTCCAAACTCATGCACTCAGCTTAGCTGGCATATCAGGTTGTGGAGATGCCCTGTGATGGACTGGCACCCTGTCTAGGCTTTTCTCCTGCCTTGTGCACTATGCTGCCTGGCATAGGCTCCAGGCCTGGCTAATCGGGTGGAAGTCAGATGGAGAAGTTCATTCATTCATCAAACACCTTTATCCAAAGTGACTTACAGTAGAGGGAAGGTTTACATTTTTATGTCTGCTCCCTTTGATTATGCATTTGTTGTCTGTCTCGGATTTTATGTAAATAGTATACAGTTGTTTCAGTATAAATGCAATTCAATATAAGTGCAATTATACGAACACATTATGGTCACTTGATCCACAATACCGTTTAAACATGAATTTTAACAAATGCATAACTGATACACAAACCTTAGCACTGTGATTGCCACCCCCCTCTTTTTTGATCTCTGCACCAATAAATGACTTTGACTCATGACAAATGGAATTCATTGATTTGTCCTCAGCTTCAATTTCTTTGAATGGCTCGTTGGCCAAACCTCCTGCACTGAGCTGTACATGTACATATGCGCTGGCTTTCAGTCATCTACTCACTCTTATGCCTAATAAGGGATTTAAAAAAAAAAATAAAAAATCTCTGGGTCACATAGCTTGCAATGTCATTTTTGATATTTTTGGACACACCGCATCACTGAAGTTGCTTTTCTTAGGTACATCTGTCCGTGTGTGGATATGAATGTCATTACCACAATTCGTTTGTTGTCCTTTGCTTTGCCTGAAAAGGCACATCTACAGTAACTCTGAGCCAGTAGAGTTTACATTAGTCACTCACCATTTTTAAAACTGAATGTGTTTCATCACTTACAGTG